AAAAAAAAAATGCAAAAAAAGTTCAACTCACCTTCGTTTGTCTTCGTGTCATCGTCTATTCTGGCACAGACGTCCTCCTCTTCTCCTCTCCTCCGGCGCGCTGCTCTGACCGTCAACGGCCGCCTTGCTCCCTTGCTCTCTCTCCCTCTCTCTCTCTCTCTCTCTCTCTGTCTGTCTGTCTCTCTCTCTCTCTCTCTCTCTCTCTCTCTCTCTCTCTCTCTCTCTCTCTCTCTCTCTCTCCGTGTCGTCGTCGTCGTCAGCCGCAACGTGTTATCGTGCGAACCGTTGCTGCATTCGCCACCCAGCCGGTAGCAGCCCTCTCTCTCTCTCTCTCTCTCTCTCTCTCTCTCTCTCTCTCTCTCTCTCTCTCTCTCTCTCTCTCGTCGAACCGTGTGAGCAAAGTTCCAAAGCAATCGAAACAGAAGCACCTATCGTCGAACCATGTGAGCAAAGTTCCAAAGCAATCGAAACAGCACGGCGAAGTGCAAAGGCTAAAAGCACGATCGTCGATCGGGCCCGCGGTGGACGGCCCGATAGAAGTTTCGGGAATTGTTGGCGCGGATCCCGAAAAATCTATCGGGCCGTCCAACGCGGGCCCGACCGACAATCTCGACTATTCGCACCGGTTCGGCCCGACCCGAAAGACATACGTGGTGTCTGTCGGGCCCGCCTACCTGTCCCATTGCGTTTCCTGACAGTGGACAGCGGCCTCTCGCGGGAGCGTTACGCGAGGACCGCTATTCACTTAAAGAGTGTTAAGGAAAAATTAAAAAATGAAAGAAAGGACTGACTTAACGAACGGGCCCGATATTAGCTGGAGATCCCCTCTTGTCTAACCTGCCAAGGAACATGGATCACGAATAAGTCAGCTGAAGAAAACTAACTGCGGGAATGGAGATTTCGAGGGGTGCAGACGGTCGCCGAGCCAGATGCGGGGCAGTGTGTGAGAACATGCAGTAAGACCAGTCAAGATCCTCTTGAAAGGAATGTCCTTACTAGCTGTGTGTCCCCCTGATTCAGCACAGCAAAGAGATGCATTGACGACAACAGATTTGGGTCCTAAAGGTCCTGTACCATTGGGCCTGGTCCCACTGAGTCCCAAAGGGTCCCGAGTAGGTTGTGGACCAGGACCAATGAGAAAGGTGTACCAAGTCAGTCCCAAACTGCCTCTACTGTACTGAAAAGGAAAAGACAACTTTCAGCAAGAGCTTGCTCGTACAGCCGTTCAGAATGTAAAGACAGTGCACTGTAGAAAGATAGGTCATTGAAAACAAAATACATCATCCATCCATCCATCAGGTGAGAAAGCAATCCACATGCTCACACACACAACCAAGACCGCAGAGAAGAGGAAGAGAGCCCAGCACACCCCAACAGACCATGAAGCACAAGCAACCTCCCACGGGCACACCCAGGTCACACAACCCTTACCTGTGAGGCCAGGCCTCCAAAGATGGATAAAGACTCACCCCCCTCTCTCATAGGTCCTCCTGACCCCTAGCTACCATTACACGAAGTGTCCTAGCATGACTAAGAGGGCCTCCCTACACCCATGTTACAACGCCGGATCCTCCGTCGATGTTGAAGACCAAAGTAGCAACTTGCAGCTCTTCGATGCACAGATATGGCAGCCTCCGATGAAGTCTCCCTCTTGAGTGGAAGCCCAAAAGTCACTCAATGTCTTCTTGAAGTGCAGATTCCAGGTGCGAGTACCTCTCACTCTCTACTGCCTCTCGCTTACTCCAGTCAGCCTCCTTTGTGTCTTGCCACCCCATTCAATCACACAAGCAACCTGGTCAGGTCTGATGTCGACCCTAACCAGGTGGGGCCAGCATGCACATACCTCACTGCCCCTCTTAACCCTAACCTCCAACCCTAATCCGAGATTAGATTAGCCCTAACCTAATTCAGAATTAGGTTTTAGGGTGACTAACACCTCTCGCCAGCAAGTAAGTCCACTCCGATACCAATTGTTAGATCCTTTTTTTTTTTGAAAAATTTGGACCATTTCTCGATTTATGCGTGTCATCCTTGCGCAGGGGCCATGCTAATCTTCTCTGTATCATTCCAATTTTAACGGATGTCCCGAAGGACACCAATTGTTAGATCCTGGTCATTCCCAAAGTGCAAATTCACAATGAAAGACAATGCCACCCAATTGCGAACGAAATGAAAGCACTTGCAAAGAGATAGAGACCAAAGAAGAGAGAAGGAAGAAGAAGAAGAAGAAGAAGAAGAAGAAGAAGAAGAAGAAGAAGAAGAAGAAGAAGATGTACACCAGCAAGACCAATGACAAATCCCCCCTTCTCTCTCCACCTTCCTCCTCCTCCTCCACTTCACCAATCTTATTCTTCTTCCAATATGAATAATAACAACGAGTGGATGAACCAGAATCAATATCCGAAGTTCCCTCTTACTGCTGACACAACAATAGGACCACCATAGCTATGGCTTCCCCTCCTTCTTCCTCCTCTTACATGCCTAGGCTATGGCGGACTACTGAGGGCCCTGCCCTCCTGTCCAAAGGACAACCCAAAGCAGCTATGGTGCTGCACTCCTGTTATATACTCGTGAATACTTCAACGATTATGGGGCAGAACCAAAGATCAACCAATATAGGATGAGCATGTATGCAGCGGAAGTCTGATAATGGACTGACTCACACAGATATCACTCCACACACAAACAATCGTGAGATGTTGGGGTCTGAGCCAAGCASAGACGATGCTCAGGCCCCGTACAAACATACACAGATGAGAGGTGGGAGGAGAGATGAAGGAGGTGGGAGATGTAGGTAGCACCAGATGTCACCGAGATAGAAACCAGTAGGTCACCGATATGGTAATCTAAAATGTCATCGAACAAGATCAAATGTCGCGGACAATAAGTCACCAATGTCGGAGATCAGAGTCCTAATGTAACCGGTGTCCAATCTGTGATGCAGCCGAGTATCATCCCAACAATCTCCAAGTCTCGAACCCGGTAAGTACCACAGCCTCTTACCACCGAAGTCCAACACTGATCTCTGTCCAACTAGTATCAAGTCTCCAGTCTGAAGAAGAAGAAGATGAAATCTGAAGAAGAAGAAGAAGAAGAAGAAGAAGAAGAAGAAGAAGAAGAAGAAGAGGAAGAAGAAGAGGAAGAAGAAGAAGAAGAAGAAACAGAAGAAGAAGAAGAAACAAAAGAAGAAGAAGAGATGAGATAGAGGAGGAGGAGGTGAGGAAGAGGGGAGCCAGGGACCGTGGAGGGAGGAGAACACCTCACTCCCGGATACCTGGTCCGTCGCATCTGCCTGCAGCCGAAGTCGGCGATGGCTGTCCGCTGTCTGGCTGCTCTCCTCGGCGCTGCCGCTGCGCTAGCTCGCGCTGCTGCTCCTGCGCTAAGAATAGCGTTGCTCCTCAACCGATACGCACTGGCATGATGCAGCATGTCGGTGGCTCAATGCCTCTCAATGAGGCTGGTACCGGTATAAGTACTGGTGGCCAAGAGGCCGGCCTCAATGCTGCGAGGCCTGGCCGTGACATGAACCGTCGAGATCGACGGTTCAGATCAGATCGGTAGGCGACAGGTTCAAAAGCACCGCCAGGCCCAAAACGAGAATGTCGTTTGGGCCTGCCCGTCGGTCTGGTCCAAAACGTGGCCTTTACGGCCTGCTGTACCCCAAGTCCGGGCCTTTAGGCCCTAATGTGTCCCTCTGGCCCTAAGTCGGGTCCGGTAGGACCCGTGTGGCGTCGAAGATGTAACACACTCCCCCTCTTAAAAGACCGAGCTACCTGCGAGGGCGGAGTTGTCTTTCCAATACCGGGGTGGGTCAGGCGGGACGAGCTGCTTCCTTAGCAACGCGTCGCTTCTCATAGTCGGCGAAAATAAGGGGTGCAGAAGTCTGCAAGTCTGCACTAGAGATCCACCGAGTGTCATCAGGCGCACATTGCTTGAATGTGACTTTGAACTGCATTGGCTTGTTGCCATACTTGCGGTGCGTGATGACTCGGTCGACTTCCTGATGTCCGTCCATAGAAGGCGGATCCTGTGATCGACGGTTGGGAAACTCGTCGGTGGAAGGTGGCGTGTAGATGGCCAGCTTCGACGCGTGGAAGACCCGGTGCACTGGAAGGTGCGAAGGAATGTTGACCACAAAGGAAGGACCTGCGGGGTCGTCTCCAACGACAGAAGTGACTTCCCATGGTCCGAACCATTTCGGAAGGAGTTTGCGCGAAACGTCCTGCTCGAGCACGAATTCCTCGGAGAGGACCCAAACAAGGTCTCCCTCGCGGAAAGGACATGGAACTCGGCGTCGGTTAGCCTGTTGTTGCATGCGGATCTGAGCCTTTTGCATATTCGCGCGGGCTTTGATCAGCAAGTCCCGGTACTTCCGAACGGAAGCGGGAGAGCAAGGGACGTCTATGTCGGCAGCTTGTGGCAGAAGGAGATCAGCGAAGATCCGTGCTTTCTCTCCACCATGATGTAGCTCGAATGGTGTGATGCAGATCGCCGGATGCACCGAAGTGTTGTAGGCGAACTCAATGTCAGGAAGCCGGTCAACCCAATCTTTCTGGTCGGGACGGATGAGCGTACGCAACATCATCTGAGCGGTCTGGTGTGCTCGCTCCGTTTGGCCATCCGTCTGCGGGTGCCGAGCCAAGCTCGACTTCATTGTCGTGCCGGACTCAGCCATAAGGGAAGTCCAAAAGGCCGACATGAAGCGAGTATCTCGATCGCTTACTATGTCTTCCGGAACACCCTGGTTGGTAATCCAACCGGTGTGCAAGAGTCGTGTGAGCTCAGGCGCTGCAGCATGATACTTGCACAGAAGAAAGCGAGCATACTTGCTCAAACGGTCAACGACCGTGAGAATACCGTCATGGCCGAGGCGATCGTGGGGGAACGGGCCTGTCACGTCCATAGCAATGGAGAGGCGCGGTGCCCGAGGAATCGACAACGGTTTCAGTTCGCGGAAGGGGACTCGAGATTGACCCTTGTTACGGTGGCAAACTGCACATGACTCAATGTACCTCATGACGTCATGAAGGACGTCAAGCCTGTGAAAACGCTGGCGGAGGTGTGCTAACGTGCGGTTTACGCCAAGGTGTGTCAAAAGTCGTGCGGCGTGGAATTCGCCGAGAAGACGAGTCCGTAAGATGCGATCTTGGGGCACAACTAACAAGTCCTTTCCTCTCGTGTGAAGGAGAAGGAACCCGTCGGAAATCCGATAGTGGCTAGCCGGCGGGTGATCCGATGAAAGCTCCGCGTAAAGCGCGGAGTAAGTCGGATTGGACTTGTAGCCTTTGACGAAATGCGGCTGCAGATCGTCATCGAGGTCGAATACCGTGGTCACAATGGCACAAAAATCGGGCCGTCATGAGAGGGCGTCCGCAGCTCGATTGGCGGGACCGGGAATGTGGCACAGGTCAAAGTCGAATTGGTCGATGTAATACATCCATCGACCGATCGTGCTAGTGACCGTATCATGCGTTTTATAAAAGGTCAACGGATTGTTGTCCGTATTCCATTTAAAACGCCGACGGCTGAGAAGAAAGTGGCGCCACCGTTTGAGAACGATAACGAACGCGAGTAGCTCTTTCTTCCTAGCGTCGTCGAGAGTGTTGACGAGAGGCACCTTTTGGGAGAAGTACTCGACCGGATGCCAACTGTACTCGAAAGGAGCGGCCACTTTCGAGTATGACTCGATGAATCGCTGATAATATCCAGCCAAACCCATGAAAGAGCGTACATCCGTCGTGCAACGGGGTTCCGGCCAATCCATGATGGCTTGGATCTTGTCCGCTAAGGGACGAATGCCTTTCGACGTAACATAGTGACCCAAGTACTCAAGCTCCTACTTGGCGAACTCGCACTTGTCGAGATTCGCTTTGTACTTGGCCAGTCGCAACGATCCAAAACAACGCGAAGGTGTACGATGTGCTCGTCCAGCATCCGACTATAAACCAAGATGTCATCAAGGTAGATGAGGACGCTGCGATCGAGCAAGTCACGAAACTCAGTCGTCATCGCTGCTTGGAAAGCTGCGGGGGCATTGGTGAGGCCAAATGGCATGACGACCCACTCAAAGTGCCCGTACCGCGTCTTGAACGCGGTTTTGTACCGATCTTGAGGCTGGATTTCGGTCTGGTGGTGACCTGACTTCAAGTCCAACTTCGAGAAGTACGTGGCGCCGCCTAACCGCTCAAGGAGATCATCAACCGTAGATCTTTGTTCTTCTTCCGGACGAAGGGAATCGATGCATAACCGTAGATCTTTGTTCTTTACGGTTTGTGCGTTAAGTTTGCGATAATCGATGCATAACCGTAGATCTTTGTTCTTCTTCCGGACGAAGAGAACAGGGGCACCGTAAGGTGAACAACTGGGCGAATCCAGCCCTTGTCGAGAAGGTCATTGAGTTGTGCGCGAAGCACCTCGAGTTCCTCTTCGCTCATGCGGTAAATACATCCACGCGGAGGGACGACACCACCCTCGAGAGTGATCCGTGACGTATGGGCCGATCCGGAACCGTTCCGGTGGGAGCCTCGAAGACGTCTCTATACTCGTCCAAGAGGTGAGAAATGCGTGGGTCCGGCGGTGACGTGGCTGGTCCGTCCGGCGAGGGAAGAGCATGCAAGAATACAAGGCCCATCTCCTCGACGTCATTCCGAGCTATGGCGTCGCGAATTCTCGCAACGGAAACCACGTGACAAGCAATCGAAGTGTGAGGGCTCGCGACCGTACATGGGACTAACACTCCATTCCGATCACGGATGTGAACGGTCCGGTCGTGGAAGTTCACCGGATGATCGGCGCTACGCAACCACGACATGCCTAAAATCATGTCGAACTTGGTGTCGAGGATGTCAAAAGACACCGGCTCGCACGCAAGTGGCGCAAAGTATACCGGAACGCCGTCGACGCATTGGTCAATTGACTTTTGCGTGCGGCCATCCGCGAGTGTAACTTGTGTAGGTTGCGTCTTCCTTCGAACGCGCGGGCCAAGGCCTGCGCGGGCCATAAATTCTTGGCTCATGAAGTTGCGAGACGCTCCGCAATCAATCAAGGCACTACAGGTTGTCTTTCCGATTTGAATGCGGATATAGAGCAAAGGTGCGTCGGTTTCGGCGTACCTTTGGGTGGCGT